CCATCATCAGCGAAGAAGCGCTCCCGTTGAAGAGGTAAGTACAGGCGGTAATAGCAGCTTCGCTTGAGTCGGCAAAAACCGCAAGATTATTCTACGCTAAGTGGGTCGGGAAATCAATATGATGAACGATCTAGCTCCAGAGCTGAGCAGGAGGAAACGAGCGGCTTGGGGAGCGTACAAGAACATCGAGGGAGTAGTGAAGAAGACGAAGAACATCCGGCTCCGTGCCCACCTCTTCGATTCCGCTGTCCTTCCTGCCCTAACCTACGCCTCAGAGACTTGGACTCTGCGCAGGCAGGACGAGCATGCGGTCAGCGTTATCCAACGCGCTGTCGAGAGGACGATGCTAGGAGTAACCCTATACACGCAAGTGCAGAGGGGAATCCGGAGTGCCGAACTACGCCAACGATCGAAGATCAGGGACGCTGCCGTTTTCGCCAAGGAATCGAAGATAAGGTGGGCCGGACACGTCATGCGATTTTGCGATGACCGTTGGACCAGAGCGGTTACCGACTGGATCCCTCGGGACGTCAAACGAACACCTGGACGACCGCCGGCCCGATGGTCAGACTTCTTCACGAAAGCTCTGAACGAAAGGAATGATGGACTTCGTGTCCCTCGAGCAAGGAGGATCCACTGGACCACTCTAGCACGCGACAGGGACGAATGGAGACGTTGCTGGCGCCCGCTCGAGCAAATCGACGATCAACGGGACGACAGGTGATACAGGTGATACCGTCGGTCCAACATTCGACTTCGCACACGCGAGGATCGTATAACAACATTGCTGTTCTCTATCGAGTTACGCATCTCGCATGGCAACTCTGGAGGCAACTCCGTGTCCACAATCAAATTCTTCGCAACTCCGAAAGATTCTGCTGAAAATTCTTTTGCGGCGATAGGCTCCACGGGAACTAGCACCTTAGAGGATCGTAGAAGCTATTTGGCGTGCAATAGTGCGCGTTGAGATAGGATCACTTGGAGTTTAGGAACATGGAGCTTCCAAGCAGTCCGTTCCTCGCTTTCCAAAGTGTTTCCAGGCAGCTTTTGCACTAACTTTGCACGCGCGTTTTTCTGGTAAGTTTTGGCGCAGAGATTTGTCATTTGACAAAAATTTCCTTAAGTTAACGCCCATCGCTTCGAGGATCTTTCGCGTTTCCAGAGACTTTTCGGTGGCTTCAGCAGATATAGAAGAAACGTAGAGTAATAAGGTATCCTACTATATATAATCGGCTAAGCGGTTGTGTGTGTGTGTCTGACCGGAAATTCATAACTTCGTTCCCTTTGATCCCAGAGCGCTCAAACTTCTAGGGTATATAGGGGTCGGGCGTGAACACTGATGATGGGTGGCGGAAAGTGATAAGTACTGATAGAAGCTGATAACGGGCGTCAGAATGCCGATGTCACCAACTTCCTTACGCCGTTCGCGTTGGCAGTGGATTGCTAGCACTCATCCGATCACTCATCCGGCCCGCCTCAGCACCCCTGTACAGAAAAGCTAGAGTCGGAGTGGCAAGTGCGGAGCGGAAGAAAGGTGATAGCAAATGCTAAGGGCGGGGACTAGGAAGGCATCCGCAATCGTTGACGGACAGTCGCGGTCATTTTCCGTCCAACACGACCTACTGCGGTTCTGAATGATGTTTCTAGGCGGAGAGTATACATTCGGAAGTTACAAGTGGGGTGGTAGCAAGGGCAATGAGTAAAGGGAGAGGAGGAGGTGATTGGAAGTGGTGGTGAGCGGCAAGCTTCGAGTATAAACGAGCACGTGCGGTAAGGAGGACGGTCAAACTGTAAGGAACAGAGGGCCGAACCAGTTTCTTTGCGGCTTTGGCACATGTGAACAGAACCTGATTAGGGCTGTCACATGGTTGGCATATATAGCGGGACGCACATCTGGGGATGGGACGGGACACGGATAGTGGGTGATCAAAAGCGATAACAACCGATAACGGTTGGATAAAGAAGTTAGGATTTTGGTGCCGCTGATTTCGTTGTAGCCTTCGTGGTGACAGTAAATATTAGCTCCTAAAGCTACGAGATGGGACGGAGATGACCCCGTGATCCCGCCTGGCCGTATCAACACCGCCCGCACAGGTGAACCTCCAATAATAAAAATAGCGACAATTGAGTGTGCACTCGGTTAAACTGAACCAGATTCCTAGCACGGGAATATGTTCCATTTCCACCCTTTCATCTAAAAAAGCAAAGGAAGTTGAGCTGCTCCACTATCTGGACTTGGACTAATAGCGAATAAAATCATATTTCCAATTTCCATCATCGATTGATGCTGATTGATTGGTTATATTCCACTTACACACCGATTCTTCAATTGTGGGAATTCTATAAACCGCTAAATCGCCCGAGCTCGATATCAATGCTAAATGTTTACGAAGTCATGATAAGTACCATTCTCATTCCGCATGCTACTGCGCGCATTACGCGACAATCTTCAGCGAAACTGGACAACCTTTAAACATCATGTGACACATCTTCCAAAACATCTTACTGTTAGTTTCTCAGTCACGTGACCTAATATTCTGCAAGTTGTCCAGTTTCACTAAAGCCCACCATTTGATGCGCGCGGTTGCGTGCGGAGCTAAACTGGTAAATATAATTGTGAAGATATAATTCAGCATGAGAGGCCGGGACAAATTAATATCCTATCCATTCCCTATCCCTATTCGCTTCCGCGCCCCCCCTCCTCGTATAACTTCTATATTTATAAAGCGCTAACTTTGTGTGTCGGTTTGTATGTCTGTATGTATGTATGTATGTATGTATGTATGTATGTATGTATGTATGTATGTATGTATGTATGTATGTATGTATGTATGTATGTATGTATGTATGTATGTATGTATGTATGTATGTATGTATGTATGTATGTATGTATGTATGTATGTATGTATGTATGTATGTATGTATGTATGTATGTATGTATGTATGTATGTATGTATGTATGTATGTATGTATGTATGTATGTATGTATGTATGTATGTATGTATGTATGTATGTATGTATGTATGTATGTATGTATGTATGTATGTATGTATGTATGTATGTATGTATGTATGTATGTATGTATGTATGTATGTATGTATGTATGTATGTATGTATGTATGTATGTATGTATGTATGTATGTATGTATGTATGTATGTATGTATGTATGTATGTATGTATGTATGTATGTATGTATGTATGTATGTATGTATGTATGTATGTATGTATGTATGTATGTATGTATGTATGTATGTATGTATGTATGTATGTATGTATGTATGTATGTATGTATGTATGTATGTATGTATGTATGTATGTATGTATGTATGTATGTATGTATGTATGTATGTATGTATGTATGTATGTATGTATGTATGTATGTATGTATGTATGTATGTATGTATGTATGTATGTATGTATGTATGTATGTATGTATGTATGTATGTATGTATGTATGTATGTATGTATGTATGTATGTATGTATGTATGTATGTATGTATGTATGTATGTATGTATGTATGTATGTATGTATGTATGTATGTATGTATGTATGTATGTATGTATGTATGTATGTATGTATGTATGTATGTATGTATATGTATGTATGTATGTATGTATGTATGTATGTATGTATGTATGTATGTATGTATGTATGTATGTATGTATGTATGTATGTATGTATGTATGTATGTATGTATGTATGTATGTATGTATGTATGTATGTATGTATGTATGTCCGTGTGTCCGTCCGCAAAATGAAGTGAGTGATAAGGAAGCTCATGGAGTAAACAAACCGCTGATAACGGGTAAGCTCCTCGAGGTATCAATTTTGGTAGGGCAGATTAATGTATGCTATACCCTTCGGCGATCTAGCATGGCTCACTCTTGGCGCGGTTGGCGGGGTACGCCCACCGACTATCTAATCACTCGCCGCAGGTCTATACGTGGCGAGTGATTAGATAGCAGAGAGAGCGTAGTGTTGAAGAGGGCACAGCGATGAGAATCAACGGGCAAGGAAGGGGTCCCATTTCTCGGGTTCTGGGCCGTTTCTCATGGTTCTTCCTTCTTTCGTGTACCACTCACCATCCCTAGGTTAATTTGAAATGGGTTGCTTTTTCATCGTGAATTTTGCCTCTTAAAAATATGCAGCAGCTTCAAGCTGGAGCAAGTACGTTAGGATTCCTTGATAGCGATGACAGACGACGCCATGCTCTGTGGCGATGAGGGCATTGAGCTCCTTCTACTTGTAGAGGGATATTTCAGATATATGTAGTTTGGTATACGACTTCTCAATGAGGAATCTGCGCGAGGAAATCGCTGATGCGCCACATGAGCAAATGCTTTTTTGCACACCCCCCCCCCTCCTGTATACGCGCGGCTATGAATCCAACGCACACACTCCGTGAAGGCGTAAACCCACACGCCACCGTCTGAAGATTATGCCCGCCTACATTCTCCTTTCTTACATGGTTTCTCCTGTCATTCTACTAAACCCGAGAACATTAGAACTGTTCGAATCGAGAAGACCCATGAAATATGCGTGCCTATATTTGGCAATTATTTGCCTGTTGTAGCTTGACGTACCATTGCCTGACAAGTTATCTCTACTCGCTGTTGTTTTCTAGGTTTCGCTGAATGTCGGCTTCATGTTTGGCCGTTTGAACAACGGCTGGTCACACATGGTCGTCTACGGTTTTGCCTATCCAATGCTTCTTCTCACACTTATCGCCCCACTGTGTGCGGTGATGTTAGGAATGGGAAAGCGAGAGAAACGAGAAGGAGATCGACGATACGTGAGTGACTTCCACTATCAGCTCACATTCATTCATGTTTGCTGGCAAATGCTAATCTAAACTTCGAAAAAAAGCAGATCGAAAATGCACTTGTGTTTTGTGTAGCGTGGTGATCAAATGGAATTCTTGACCAAAACCTGCGATCGGGATAGGCGCCAAAGAGTAGTCCCACCTTGTTGAGAAAGAGGTGTCCCCAAACGCAGGAGCGTGACCTGCCGCGACTCAAAAGTGCAAGGCAACGGCGCTAAGGCCTTGCTTTGGTTGCTATCCTTATTTTGATTGCTATCCTGCTATCCTTATCAGTCACCGCATGCGTGGCTTCTGCACCCTCTCGCGTACAACGTGCTCTCTTGGTTCTCTTCTCAAAGCGCTTTGTCTCTCCGTCATACCATGGCCAACCTCGCAAAGGAAAATTTCAGTGCTTCTATAGGGCTTCTAGCTTTTTCTCTCCCGTAAGGTTCCTCATGGCACTTATATAATTTTCGAATAAAAAAACGCAGCAAATCGACCTGCCCCGTGCCTTTTAGTTGACTGACGGTTTAACGGAAGCGATCACGATAAAGATGGGAGCACATCGGGGAAGCATATGCACCACACGAAACAGTTACTTGGCTGCCAGGGAAGCGAGGTGTGGCGCTTTCACAACGAAAGGCGCTGGTTGCTAGAGCAGGACTTCGAAAGCGATCCGCTCACCAATTTAATTGGTGATCTGAGCTGCTTTAGAGCAGCGGCACAACTGGAGAGACTCGATTGCGGCGTGGTTTGGCATGATGCCACCAAACACGTTGCGCTAACTCGTCCGTTTTCTGAGCTTGTTACCTGTTCGTTGAGAGGAAAACAACGGCGGGATCTATTTCTTTTTTTAAGGCAGTTTCTTTGCTTTTTTCGCCCTGGGGTACCTTGAGACCCCATAGTCTCTTTAAACCCTTCGTAGATTATTGTAATCGCTACTTTAATTTTAGTAGTTTCTAGGTACATGGTCCCCAATGAAGTAATGCGAGCGTTTTTATATGTTTGGATCGAGGACTACTATGCGTCGTGACTCTGGCTATGATTTCTTCTCCCACCGACACCGCTTAAAATATTTATAGCAGTATTACGTGTGCTGCCAGGTGGCACAAGGGTTGAGGAGCTAGTAGTGGAAGGTGATGCATGAACTCGAAAAGCGTAAGCTTGGATGACTGGTAAACAAATCGAACCTTTTTAAATTCTACTATGTATGTCGTGGTGTGGGAGAGAAGTGACCACTCTTCTCGAGCTCCTGTAAAATAAGAATCACTCACTCCGTTGCCTTGCCATGGTGTGTGATTGCTCTTGCATATATGAGGAAAAAGTATATGATTAAAGCCAGATGCGAAATCGACGTGATTTAAAGATCTCAAAGAGGGGAAACTGGGTCCAATTCAAATGCGGTAACTGATGGAGACTGCCGTGAATTTCAGTACGAGGGCTAGATTAGTGCTAAGACGATGATGCAATGAGACGGAGAGATGAGGAATGTAGCGAGAGGGGCGGGGCAAAGAGAGGCAACTACATAAGATATGTGTGCAAACCGCCTGTGAAGACAGGATTGACACAAAGTCGCAAGCCGTCGCTTGGAGCCAGCGCATTGGTTGTAGTTGAAGGACTCCCAAGCTGAGGAAGCGGGGCTTCTGCGACTATTGTGGACAGTGGTATCCCATCTTCCTACCAAATGGATTTCTTCGCCTGAACTCGTCATGAGTGTTTCTTCAGCGATCGACGAAGACGAGTGTGGAAAGCGAGAATTGATACGGGCGAGGATAGGAGGCGAAATGCATGCCTCAATTTAGTCTGGAAAGTTCGAAATTATTGAACATCGGATTTGCCGGCCATTGGCAGGTCGTTTCAACAGTCATACATCGGGGTTGAGTGAGTCACGAAGGAAATAGTAACATCTTTTTACTGTGAAAACTCCTCAAAACTCTTCAAGGTGAGCAGGTTCGCTCTACAGTAGCGCTAGAGGTATCCGGCAACCCCAAGTATGAATGTAGTAGAACAGAATGATTTGGCTGACCGTAGAAGATTGCAATCTTTTTAAAAGCCAAATGCGGTATCGAAGTTTGGTCACCAACATCTGTGTGCATCGACAACGTGCCTTGATCTTTCGCAAAAGCTCACCTCAGCGCTTTTCATAAAACCGTTCGAGCACTTTGCGTTTGGTAATCTCTTCATGGATTACGCCAGGGATAAAAAAGCAGGTAGTCATTGAATGCGCAGGCAAGCCGGTGCATAGCCAGCATTTTCACCCGCCGAAAAGGTATGGTACCGGTTGCCAGACATCGCAGTTATGCAGGCTTCCTCGATCTGGGTGGCTACTTTTCCCGAATGCGGCTCCCAGAATGCATACCACTGACCTTACTTTTTGCTGATAAGGGTTATGGACAATTTATTCTGCACTTATTTCTTTACATCAGCCTGGGATATGTTGAATGAAATTTCACCCACCATCCTAAACGCCAGTTCACTTAATACTTTAAAAAAATCAAGAATGGAAGAAAAATGGGTTGAACAGCGATATCATCGAAGGAAAAGCCGGTCACCGCGAGACGTCACTAAGAACCTCTGAGTGATACCAAAAACCGCAATTATTCATGAAAACTTTGTCTTGTGAGTCACAAGAACTACATAAACCTGCTGAAAGTTTCACCTGATTTCAGCCGAATCCCTTGTACCAAATGATATGGCTGTTGGCGTTCTGTGGATGGGTGAGCGTACTGGCGCCGCTACCGTTCACAGTGTGGTACTACATTATCGGTGAAGGAACCAGGTAGGCGGCTGTGCACCTTTTGATGGCTTCTTTCTGAATGTGATTCCAGGTCTCTCAATCAATCTGTTGTCATGTGTCACGTATTCCGTACTACCATGGAAGCAATTCCGCACACGATCGACACCATGATGACGCTTTTCAGTGTCCTACTGGCAGCTGCAAGGTGAAGGAACTAGTCGATACTTGCGAATTACGTGCCAATTTCACGCTGCGTACGATTCGGCTGCCTGGATAGCGATTGTACTGTTTATTTATAACTAGTAGCTAAACAGTTCCCAGTCGGATAGGCTGACTGGCTTGGGTCAGGCCGTTGTAGTACCTTCTGAGATAACACTAGCGGGGTGTTTGGGTCAAGTTGTGAAGCACCCGGTATTTAATGAATCATCACTGAAACTGAGAGATCGCATTATTCGTAACAGCGAACGATTCCACGGAAAAGATAGCCAACAATACAACATAGTTCTTATTGACGAGAGGATGGGGACAAGCGAGGCGCAGACATGAACACCTTAGCAACGGCAGGGGTGCATCGATGGAAGTCATAGGGGCCTTGTACTTGCCATACGTTCTATGGTTTTGAGGTGCCACTATTTTCTCTGCGTTTGTGTACAAAATTTGTTCATCCATGGGAGGGGCTGCTTCAATTTGACCGGTCTTTCAACATGTCCACCTTCATGCAAAAAACAAACTTTGGACATCAAAAGATCAGAACTGCCCTTTGACTCTGCAAAACAATACTTGAGGCATCCATAAAGCCTAACTGTAATGATTTGCCATCAAAAAGATAATCAGTGCTATCTCTGTTCGTTGAAATCTTCTAAAGCGGTTCTAAAAATGCTAGTGTTCTCGATAAAAACATTAGTACAAGACTAGTTTGTGGTAATTTACATCGAATTTTCTCCATCAATATTCACTCATAGGTTTCTAACTCAATACCATCGGAACACATTGAAGCTTCGGACGGTCGAGCGATTCTCAAGAGCTATCTGGTGATCATTTTCGTATGTGTTGCCACTGGACTGCTGAGGTTCTTCGAGCATGACACTACGGTCTACCAGTTTTGTATGGGTACGTATTAATTCTTTATTCAACATGGAACGCCGGGAGGGATGGGAGAGGTATATTGGCTCGTAAATTCCGTTGAGAGCCGACGACCTATCTTCGCAGTATACACGCAAGTGCCGCGTATCGAAACAACGAAAAGTACCAAGTATGCGATTTTGTTTTTGTTTAAAGATTCCGATATGGAAAGAACCAGAAAAGTTTGCTGTCGATCGAATGGAATAATCTTCCCAAACAACATTCTATGTCGGAAATGGGTAATATTCATTTCTGGAGCATTTATGAAGGTATGGAACGTCGTGTCGGTACAGGTTACAGAAGCATTCATCAATAGTTGCTAATTCTTTATAAAAGAAAATCCTAGGAAATTCATTACAGCTGTGAGTCATTTTCGGGCGACTCGTCCAAATCTCACGGAAACTGACGCTTCAACAATTTTTAGACACCGAGCCAACGCCACAATGGGCAGCACGTTGTATGGTACGAGACGGAGCGTTGATGAGCATTTTGACAAGGTCTTTTTGGAAGGTTTGTTTGATCTCTCGAAATCATCGCTAATATCTTTACTGCGAAAGCCGTGCAAACAGCAGACTTCTGCGCAGTGACCAAAACTGGCCCAGCTCTTCTGTTAGCAGCGTTTTTAGCGAACCACAAAGAGTTGTCGGATAGTGAGAGTTTATTACCCTGCATGTTTAGGTTTTTCTGCCTCTAGCAGACTTTGTTGTACAGTTCCTGATACCTGGCTGTTTGTTGGCACTTCTTCACGTTGGATTCATACGAGAACCTGAAATAGACATGGGAGCCATGACTAGACAGTAAGTCATTCAATATATACCATCGATCCCTTGCACTAGCTTCCATTTGTATTGGATATGTTGACGGTTTGAGAAACGAAAAAGAACGATGAGAAACCTACTGGGCTGCGTTCATACCCCACATTTTGAAAGCTTCGGCGATTTCGTTGGAAAGGGTTATACGTGTCGATCTGGAGACTTCACTGATTTAATATGATGAATCGCCAGAATTGACTCTGCCCTCTAAGCGTTTTCGAAGATTCGGCGAACGCTAGTCGACACTCATCCATACGTTTCCGCTCCCCAATCGCCGATTCGCCCAAAACGTGGATGTGAACGCGGTCTGCCTACAGCTGTTATTACCCAAAGCAACGAATCAGCTACTGTAATTACAGCAATCGATTCGGTCGTACACCACGCGATCAGACGCGGATACTGATCACAACGGTGACGATCGCTTTTCTCGTCGTACAAGTGCCGACTGCCTTCATAACGACTCTCAGTCTCACCATAAATCACTTCCAAAATAACAATGCTCGTGAGTTCCTACTAGTCTTGCCGAAACGGTCCTACAGTAACTTTCCGCTATCATAGCAAGTGCCTGACAGGCAATAGGTCCTGCTTACATATGTAGTTTTCAATGGTCCTACCAAGAACAATAGTTGTACCTATACCTAATAGTTTCCATGATAGCTGTATATTCACATACCGTCTCGTTCAGGGTTGGGCACCTTTTAGGATGTAACTATGGGACTATGCAAAAGATATATTTCAGTGATGATTCTTGCCTTGGTGACTGGTCACCTCCAACCTATGCTTTCAATTATAACAATTGCCGCCAACTCAGCTGCGCTTCTTACTGCATACTATGTTATTGTTAAGGTGAGCGTGCTTTTTGGTTTCTACATTTATAGTAGACATTGAATGAATCGATTACAATAAAGAGGGAGATCGGCAAGTATGTGCACTCGAAGCAGTCTGTTGGCTGCCAGGAAAGTGATGTGTTGTGTTTTTACGACAAAAGGTGCGCTGGTCGCGTCAGAATTGATGAAAGCCGAACCCCTCCCTTTCCAAGCGCTCGCACACACTAGGAAAAATAGTGTGGGTGGATTGAGCGGAGTTTTGTTGACCAGGCAGCGCAACATCGGGTTCAAGAAGGACACTACTTGAGTAGCTTATGTGCCCCTGCGCGAAAGGCAGAACGCAAAATGTTTAGGGAAGATAGTGATGTGCTTGAAAGTATGCATGAAGAGCTTTCAAGCCCTTGGAAGGGAAGGGTTGGGCAGGTGTAAGCTGTGGCCAAAAATTGGAGATAAGCGGCAACACATGGAACCATTTTATCGCCCCAAGCAAGAAAGCACAGACAAGAGCAGCACAGTGAGGCAGTTCAAAGGACTGAGGAGCAGTCGTCAGTAGGCCTACAGCTGGAGCAGCTCGACTGGAGCATGGTTTGACGTGATACCACAAACTCGTCGCGGTAAACTCGTCACACGTCTTCTAGCCGGGTTGTTACTTAAAGGAATCTTCCACGGACCATGGACCAGTGGGCGGGACCGGAAGTTTTTGTGACAAAATGCATGGTAGGTACGGATCCACGTGTCGAACGCACGAACGTGAACAGGATTCACTTCAAACCTTCCCATGAACAATGGATCCGAGATCATTTGGCAAAAGTGGATCTTTGTCGCGTTTTCTAGAAGGTGCGTTTCTATACTCGTTGTCGCCAATCATAGAGCATCTCCCACATCCTCTCTAAGGCCCTCCAGAACATGTCGAATCGCCACCTTCAATGATATACACGATGAGGGTGAAAGCCTACTTGGTCTTGCTATCTGAACTTTGCGTAACTCACAGGAGGATCCCTTCATTTCCGAATCTCACATTGCCAGGAGCTGTGGGCTTTTTCACGCGCAACGCTTTACATCGCTGTCCAGAGCTTTTTCTGTACGCACACAGCGGTTTACATCGCTGTCTAGACCATCGATGATGGGGCATCCATCCCCTGATTTGCTGCAGGATTTTCTCGCCATCCATGGCTCGATTCGAATTTAACAAATCGGAGAGTAGTAAGTTACATAAATGGGCGCATGCTCTCTATGCAGTCATCTATAATCACGCTAGCAAAAATTATTGTGTTAAGCTTCCGTAATCAGGAGTCACAAGATGGACGAAAGTAAACACGATGCAAAATAGATTCTCTATAGCCTAAGCAGTTTTGACGTTTCGTATTCTTCACATAATTCACTTGACCATTTCAATTTTTTGTTAAGGATGACGATATTGACGTTGGAGATTCTCGCACTTCGCTGTCGGAAACAGAAGGACCGCATGAGATGTTGCTACGACAGCAACAAAACGTCCGAAACACAAGGCAAGTGTGGACGAGTTTCCGAAGGTGGGACCGCGTGCAGCCTGAAAAGTGCAGCATGCGGAACGCGACTATGCCGTGGCAGCAGACCTCAGTTTCGCTCTCTTCGAGTATTTATGTTCGCTTTGAACTCTCAGCAAATACTTGTATATAAATTTAGGTTAACACATTGACGACAACGCGGGGGATATATATCCCGCGCATTGCAGGCCATGTCGGACCGTGCGGGATATATATCCCCGCACCCATTACACTCATTTTTTTCGCGCACGCCTGATTCTTTTAGAAGTTTCTTGTATTATTGATTGGAAGAGACCTTGACGTAGCTACAAACATAGTGGCCCTTAGAATGGTCACGTATGCTTCAATTTTGAGGAGGATTTCTGAACCATACAAAATCTTCATTTCAATAAATTTTTCGTTTACTTTCGCTTTTTATTAATTTGAAGATTTTAATAGTAGTAGAAGTAGATAAGGAACCTTAGAGGATGACAACATATGTGTTTTGATTGGAATAATCAACGTAAAATTGCTTTCGAGGTCCATTGCAGCTAGTTCTGACAAATTTCGCTTTTTCATTGTTATTTCCATGTCATTTGATGAAAATTCCACTACTGTACCCCTGGTTAGGTTGCGCTCATTACAATTTACTGATTTGGTTCCGAATTGATCATTAGTTGTGTATTTATCACTCAAAATCTGCTTGAACGACCTGAGGCGAGCGCGCCCGCAAAATCGCCGCGGTCCCACGTGGCCAAAAAAGCCAAAACTCGCGTTGTCGTCAATGTGTTAATCCTCTAGATGATGTGATTACCCAAAGTATCGCGATTCCCAAAATTTCCATATTCCTAATGGTTGTAATGTATGGATATTCCGGGTAGCCTGGGACCGGGCGCTTACAATACCTGCCTGCTACCTTACGTAACAACCACCACTGATGAATGGTATCAGCACTATTTCCAAGAAGTCGATTTCCATCGTGGGAGTGGTAATCCACCCTCATACCTTTGAAGAGTGCTTGGATGGCCTACTACTCGGACACTCGAGTGGCTTGGAATTGTCAGGCTGGGACCCTACGAGTACGCAGTCTATTCCATATCTCCATGATCCTTAGGTACTAGATGTTGCGAAGAGCATCTCAGTTCCATTTAGAGTTGGAGTTCTTTACACCGGGTTAGGAAAATAAGACTATTTGGAGTCAGAACCGACAGACGTTATGAGATTAACAAGAATGAGGGGCTTTTGACACTTCTCTATGGACTAGTGGAATCAACGAACCCGCATAGCCGTCCTGGTTGATCGCTTCTATTATATTTACTAAGTTCTGCAAGATAGAGGTTCGGTTTGCCGGTACGGGATCCAGACTACAAACCGTGTGGAACTGGCCTCTGGCCCAGGTGTCCCATACCCAGAATTCAGCAGAGTAATCTCAAGGAAAAGGTAAAAAGAAGCCAGATATATTCAGGAAGTTGTCTAGATTATCTGGAAGGCGGACGAGCAGGTAATTGATTAGGCAGAATTTGCCTTATTAGTTTGTAAATATTTGGTAATGAGGAAGTAGAAAGCTTTGTGAATGGCGTTGCATGTCTTTATGCGCAGCAAAACTAAAAATAATTAATTAAGCACATAGTAATTGGTTAAGTGGCTCGACAATGAGGGTGGATTGCAAAGTGTAGGTTGTCTGCTGCTGTTAAATATTTATTTACGCAAGGGTAAGACAAGATCAAGAGGGTCTGAAATAATATCATTCCGGTTTAGCTGGAGGTCTCGGTAAATGAAGCTAACCATAAGTAACTCACGAATTTGATAACATCAAGGCAGCGATTATAGAGACCGGAGGAGCACCTAAAATGGAGATTGCGCGGGGGCTATGTACGGGCGGTGATGATCAAGCCAGTGTTCGGGCCGAAAAAAAAATTTGAAAAAACTCCCAAGAGAAAACGCAAATGCCCTGCAGGACGTGATTTTCGCCATGGATGAGCCAACCGGAAAAGGACAGCGGACATATGAACGGACTTTAGCGCACCATGGTGGATGGCACCATACACCACCTCTGCAGTGTGATGTTACTCCATTTGTGTAGCTGCGGCAACACTAATCGCCCAAATCACCATAAAACTAGTGGTGGGCTGGGAGAGGTCGGGGAGCTTTTCAAGTACTGCTCGCGAGCTCGTTACCTTGGCAGCGAACTACTGACTTATTGTGGCGCGTAGCTCAGCTTGCCGATGATGCGTTACCTTTTTTCATAGCGTGTCCTTATAGTAATTTTAGATGCACTACACCAGCCAAAGACTTGATGCTCCTCACGCAATAACATTTCGAAACTCTGAAAAACTTGGGCTGGAAAAAAAAAAAAACTAAGATTTAGTTCGATTAATTAAAAACCACGTACATAGGATTCAGAATAGTCCAAGCTGTTGAGCAAACTACATTTTTATAGCTCACATCACAGGACTCGCACAATGTGCTCTAGAAATGCAAAAGGATAGACCCTAGGATGAGCGATTACAAACGTAATGTGCGATAGAATATTGCAGAGCCTTATTGTCTCCTGACCTCCTGCATCCAAGTCTACAGTGGAGTGGAACAGACGCTAGATGATACATAGTTTGCATGAGTGGCATTGATTGAAATGTCTGCGGATCAGTGATTCCGCTTGTTGGTTTTACAAGGCCAGATAAGGGACATTCAGTGAATCAGAGAACTCTAAGCGCGGCGTGGGAAGCTCCCATATACGTATTAGAGCCGCACGAAGAACAGGTTGTGCCATGTCGCACCTATTTGAATGAGGCAGTAAACACTTCGAGCGGAATTCACAATAGAATTAGGCCTATTTACAAGGGAGATCTTGCAAATGCAGAGTGCGCGTTCGGAACGGTTTAGATGATGTTGTAGGACGCAATCACATGTTTCGGAGCGGGTTTTCGCTGAACGGTTTTAGTAGTACCAAAAAAGTGGTGAATAATACTCTTGATGGTTCAATCCCCCGCGGCGACTAAATTTTGCAATCAAGGTTGGCGGCCACTTGTTGGCTTCAAAATGGTCCTGACGATGAATTTGACATCTGATTTTGATATTTAGCGCGATTTGGCACCAAACCGTAGGCGCCAACCCAAATGCAAAATTTAGTCGCCACGGGGATCGAACCCTTAACAGTACCTTTGCTTCTTTTTTGGTACTGCTATAACGTATTCAGCGAAAATGAAACATGGTGTTTTGCGGTTCCTATGCGTCCCTACAATATACACAGAACCGTTTCGAAAAAGCGCAGCTTGCTCTGAAAGACCTCCCTTGTTAGAGGCAAGGTGAAGGTGGTATGGTGCCAGAATGAAGAAGAATCATGAGAAATGGTCCAGAACTCGAGAAAAGGAGCCCTTCCTGTCCGCTGATTTCCGCTTGATGCGACTCGTTAACGATCTCTGCTAAACGGCTAGAGACCTGCTGCAAGTGGTTAGCCAGTTGGTGGGCGTACCGTGTTGATTGCGCCGCGGGACGGCCATCTATAATAAGATCACCAGGGGTCTCCTATCTTTCCATTGTAATACTTACCACTCCTCTAAACGGCACAAGTACGCTTCTAACACCACATGTGTTGTGCTGAATTGGTCTTGTGTGCTGATTAGTGCTTGACCTCAACGAGCTCATTACAAAATACGTCTCTACAAGGAGCTCATAGGGGGGCCAATGCTTTTTCGACGGGCTTTGCATGATATAGGGGATATGCCAGGACCCACAAAAAACTATGGTTTATTTTCCCTAATGTCTCTGTGAATACCAAAAATACCAAAAGGACAGAAATTTATTTCGGGAAATATTCGTCTATGCTTCATTGTGGCACTGTATCACAGAACTTGAGCATGTCAAACTATAGAGTCTCCTTATCCTTACATTGAAAACAGCGGAATCCGAAATACGAAATGATGGCAGTTTGTCCTAGCTTTGTGTTAAGAAAAGTGCCATGTGTGTGCGTAAAGAGTGGCGGTGGGGGGGGCCACTTAGAATCGATAGATCCTATCTGCGAGTGGAGACGCGATGCTATTTCTAGCTGCACTGTGTGCGTGGGGTGGGTTTTTAGGTTCGACTCTTCGCGTCTCGAGCTGTGAGTTGTTCGGTTTTGGCTTACACGTTACGTGGGGGGTGATGTGTCAGGATTTGGGTTGTCGTGTTCGTTTCTGATGGTCTGGCGGGGATAGTTATGACAAGGTGTCAAAATAAACCCTCAGGATGGTTTTCCTCAACAACTGAGGAAAGATTGACTCGCCGCCTACAAGATGCGCACCACAATCGGGCCCGAAGAGTAGAATGCCAGATTCGATACCCAGGGCGCTTGATCTAACCCAACAGACAGTTTTTGGGGCAGATACAGAAGAGATTTTGATCGCTTCAAAGTTGGATCGGGGCGCCAGGGGCATCCGAACGGCGTCCCCGGACGGCTTGGAGAGACGATGCTCGGGCCAGGAAAATTAGGGGTACCCTCCATGATGTCTACGAAAAATGAGGTTTGTCTTCGACCTACTCAGATAATGCTCCAGCAGAAACCACCGAGTTACGCGGGCCGCCAGCAGTGTCGGCAGCATATGCTGCCGACACGCCCAACTAGTCTCTGACTGGCTTGGCTCGTGTCTGCACGCAGTAACCTTTGTGGTGGTAGCCAATCACGGACGAGTGGGCGTGTCGGCAGCATATGCTGCCGACACTGCTGCGGCCCGTAACTCGGTGGTTTCTGCTGGCGGCATTATCTGAGTGGACAAGTCGTACATGTCGCTGCGTTCTTTGAAGGTGATTAGCATCAAAGAAGAGATAGCAGTGGGCGGACAAAATTCACCTGCCACTATTTGACGAGTGGAGAATGTGCGACCTCGCATCTGTGGTAGTCCATCATTACATCCAGTCACGGATTGGTCTCTGCCATTGTTGTAGAGTAGGACTTCTCTATTTCTAGAGTAGAGTTGTAGAGTAGTGACAAGAAGCCCGCTTGAAAGTCATTCACCGCTCAAGCCTGTATGCTGTTGGACTTACCTTCTTACATGGTCCAACTGAAATTTGGGTCAAAATCTTCTTTTTTCTTAAACTCGGTTATAAAGCTTGGTCCTAACGCCTGATTACGGGATGATTAGGACATTCGTTCGGCGCGGTGCGCTGTGGGTGCGCTAGCGCTTCGGTCAAATTAATGCCTTTTTTAGGATCAAGATTCCATCACCAATTTCTTAGTCAAATATGTGTAAGGGATTGCGTGATGTTTCAAACTATGAAACAAACATTCTAGTCTGTTGCTGACGACTAATTCTGACGCTGATAAAAAATGCAAAATGTTTGTCACTGCAAAGGAATCGACCACGGACACTGTATCACGTGCGTTTTTGATATTCAGAAGGACCGTTCAGTGGCAATGAACCATGGTTCTAGTGATCCATCACATTCGCCAATGTCATGAAAACACTTTGAAGAGCTTGGCACATCAAACGTAGTCTTTGTAAAAGTCAAAGTTTAATTTGTTCAGGATGGAATCAGTTCCAGTATTAGACTTCTAGGACCGTGCGCGACAAGTGGTATTGTCACCTGCCAAGATGACCATAAATCAACTTTCTCCATAACGTTAAAGGCAGAACACTCTTTCTGAAACAGTTCAAACTGAACATTTGGATAAATATGCTGCGGCTACATTTCCATTTGAACTGCTAGCCGAAGCTTAGAAATACTTTTTTGAGGCAAGTAGGCTGGGTGGCAAGACGGAGAATGCACGATCTTTTTGACAAGTTTATTTCTTCATAATATCGTTGTTTGTCGCAGCTAAAGTGTTTAGGCTTTCAAGGACCTATCTGAGCGTCAGTCACTCGTTCGACACTGGATCGCTGCGTTCATTCTCACGAAAAGGATCTGCCATTCGGATGAGATAGATAGATTGATGCCCGCCATTACAAAACATGGTATGTAGGCAGTTTTTGTCAAACTGTATTTCTTTGAAATGTCGTCATAAAAAAGTGAGGGTAGCCTTTTTCGAAAAGTTCCTTTTGCATCTTTTTTGCAAGAGAGTTTAGTGAGATTTTGAACCCCCCATCCGCTACAGAAAAGTATAATTTTTCCTTTTTCTGTAGCTTTCTGTGAAATCACTAGACGAATCTGTGATTAACGCAAGCTAACTTCCGTTCACGGAGATCCCAAGACGGATGAAGGAGGGAGACATGAATGCGAGTTGTATCTAGCCAATTACAAAAGTTAGCAGGAAATCAAAAAGCGAAGATGGCCTGATTGGGTAAAAAAACGTTGAGTTAGAATCTGCGCTGATTTGCAAAACTTTCAGCTGAACATAGCAACATCAAGAGCCCTCTACTAGAAGGGTCATATATGGGGACTTAAATAGTGCTGTGTGTTAAGTAGTAAATTTGCAACACTTTCCAAAGCGTCAAAGAGCTTCTACTAAAATGTTTCATAAATGGGCGAAGTACAAGAGCTACTAGTAGTGCTAGTAGCATGTATACGAAAAGTCCAATTTTCTTAACACATTGACGACAGCGCAGGTTTTGGTGTTGGTGGTGTTTTTCGGGTTGACGGACTACTTGAACTCAGCCCTTTAAACCGCCTCTGCGCTCTCTCGCGGGTCCCTCTCCTCTCCAAGGCTTAGTCCTAGGGCATTCACCCGTTCTCTAATCGTCTGTGCTCTAGCCATCGCGGCAGGACCATTGAGGAAAAATCAAGTAGTCCGTAAACCGTGTTTTTCGATGCGTGGGACATGAGCGATTTGGTGGGCGCGATTTGTGTGACGCGCGTGCGCGTCAGAACGTTCAATGCGGCCTCGAATATCTGACGCGCATGTGCGTCAGCCTGTCTTCAACTTGTTATTACGTTTATAGAAATTCACTGGTCAAATCTTCGACTTTTAGGCGCGGACTCTTAACGCGCTTGTGGAATGGAGCGCTCACGACTTCATCGCTGCTTCTTCGATGTGATCTCACTCCTCAGGACTATGAGATCCAATTGCTTCGATCTCCTGTAAACCGAGAGATTTTTATTTCTCACTGCCTTATGCTTCTTTTCAAGTAATCGCATTTCCCGCGTGTTCAAATGAATATTGTGTGAGAGGAGTGTCTACTACTTGCTCATGATTCTTGTTATTTTTGTAATAACAAATGTATGTCTTCCATCAACGGTGATAAAGTATGTTACCACATTTTGACCATCTTTGCGACGGTGATCTTCCCATTTTCTTGGCTTTCGTTGGTTTTATGCAATACATATAGTACCTTTTTGAATCACATGGAAGAGTGCAATCCTGAAACCTTTTTCCTTATTTCGGCCACCCGATTTCCATTTGAAAAACAAGTTCAAGATTGAAAACTTCTATGCTATAAATAATCGTTGGTCATTTCGAAACTTTCTATCCTAAAAAATAATCGTTGGTGATTCCTCTGATCGTCCCCTTTTAGCGAGTTCTTGCTCCCCCACCATGAGTATCAGGAGGCTCCCCCAATAACGACCACCTTTCTCCCTACCCCGACCACCACACCCACCCATGGCTGTTTCTATAGTATGTTTCTGTAGTATTTGATCCTGAGTCAGTCGACAGCCCAACTCCTCCAAAAGCGCCGTCGAGAGGGAGAGGGGGGGGGGGAGTATATCAGTACAATGAAACGATGAAACGGGCAATTTTCTCATTCCTCTGAATGCAACCCCAATCCTTCCCAAGAACCACAGATGCGACCCCTTCGTTCGAATAATGCGAACGCACGGTTCACCCTGCTCGTGTCCCATTCGTCGCTGTAGCTAACGCTATGGTGTACCCAGCCTGGTCTGGGAAAATTAGCCCTAGCTTTTCGTTCGCGCAAGACTTTTGGAGAGAAATTTGACCACTTGATGCGGTGGTCCGCGCGTTCGTTCAACATCCTGAGGACTCCGCTTGCAGGATGAAAATCGTGTCGAGGAAATAGTCGCCTCTTTACGACCCCCCCCCATCAGAGACTCCGATACGACCCCTTTTTACTCTCCGTTTCATAATGAAAAATGTTATTTTTAGATGTACAAGAGGGAGGCAGCGACCGCTGCCACGCGAATGATCCGCAGTTCGAATCCTGAACATAACTTTGCACAAGCTAGTCTTTTCGATGAACTGGATCTGAAAACGTGGGGAAATGCACCCCCTCTTTGAAGGAACTACAACTTTCTTCAGCCACAACCATTTTAGAAAATGAAGACAGTATCTGAATGCATGACTGTTCTAGTTTCTAGGCAGTGCTGAACTCTTTTCCAAGTATGTACTTGAGCTGTATTATCAGGAGTAAAAAATCAGAATAATAAAAAGAGGTAAGAATAATAAAAAAAAGTAGTAAAAAATCATTATCAGAAGTAAAGAACATCGGTTGAAGCCCGACTTCGTGTGAATAAATGACGGTGATCGTTGTGCCAAAAGGCTTTAAGCTTCCACTCTCCAGATCACCAAAGATGTTTCTTTTTTATTTTTATTTATTTATCTTTGTACTCATTGGTGTGCTAGGACAACAACAGAGTGGCTTAGTTCTGATAGATAATCGAGAACTACAAAAAAAAACGATAAAACGAAAACTTTCCTTGTATTTTGAATCTCATCTTGGCAGAGTATTGCTGAGAGGAGAAATCAGTGATGTTCTAACAAGGAGGTCGTTCAGGGTGTGCCAAGCTTTTTCAAAATGGTTTCTTTGCATGATATAGGGGCACATGCGGGAACCACAGAACCATGGTTAATTTTTCCTGAACGGCCCTCTGAATACCAGAAAAGGGGTCCCTAGTTCGATTCCTCGTGGTGACAAATTTTTGCATTTCGAGTTGACGTTCCAAAATTCGCGCAAAATGGAGTTAGCATGAATAATTAGTACCATATTCATGATTAGGACCGTCAGTAACCCCACCAAAACGGCCCCACTGTGGTGTCACACCTTTTTCACCAGTTTTTTAATCAAAGTCTATTTGTAAGGGTTACTGACGGTCCTAATCATGAATATGGTACTAATTATTCATGCTAACTCCATTTTGCGCGAATTTTGAAACGTCAACTCGAAATGCAAAAATTTGTCACCACGAGGAATCGAACTAGGGACCCCTTTTCTGGTATTCAGAGGGCCGTTCAGAAAAA